TCAGCGGCGCCCGAGCCCCCGCGCGCAGCCGGCGGCCTCCTGCCCACGCGCCGCCCCCAGCCCCACCTGGGCCACGTGCTCCTGCAGCTCCTCCATGTGCTCCAGCACCGCGTTCTTGGTCTCCGTGTCCTCCAGCATGGCGCCCACGTCGAAGACGTTGTCCAGGTAGGCCTGGATCTGCACCTGCAGCTTGTCACTCTCGGTGAGGCGCAGCCTCTGTGGGCGAGAGAAGCAGCGGTGGCGTCATGGCCCTGGCCAGCACGGGGCCCGCAGGGGCCACGGGGCCACCTCACCCACCTCCAGGTACTCGTCCAGCCCCAGGTGTGTGAACTCGTACTGCAGGAACACGCGGAAGTTCATGTTCTCCACGGAGTGCACCACGATATTGATGAACTGCATGCAGGCGACCTGCGGGCCGGCAGGAAGGACAGTCAATGTGGCAGCCCGGCAGCCCCCGCAAGGGCCCGGCCTCCCCCAGGCCTCACCATGAAATCGATGTTGCTGTCTTCGTTTCGGAAATACTCCATCAGCTTCTCAAAGCGGTTCTTCTCACCGCACACCTGGAATGGGAGGAGAGGACTCAGCCCCACACTCCGGATGTCTCCGTTTGTCCTGCCACTGGAGGCAATGGCCCAGGACAGCACAGGGCACACAGGTCCCGGTATGATCGTAACAAGGCATGTGGGGTACAAGGGAGGACTGGAGGAGCTCATGTTCTCCACTGAGGAGACTCGCTCCACAGGATGGAACAGAGGACACAGAGTGGGCAGGGGTGAAATGGGTGTTTCTGAGACTCAAGGAGGATGATGAGCACATTGGGAAACTGAGGCACGAGCCCAGCTGGAGCTGGATCAGGCCTGGCCCAACAGATGGGGAATTGGCTCTTGGCGAGCACCCACCTCGGATGTCCCATGGAGACACCCAACCATCCCAACTGGGCCACTCACCTCCTTGAAGTTGTCGAAGGCAGCGAGGATGATGTCATGGCCACCTCGGACCAGGCACACAGCGGCCAGCAGCTCCAGGACGAGAGCCTTGGTCCTGTGGAGACATGGGGCATGAGCAGGGCCCGGGCAGCCAGGGGGGCCCGGGGTGGTGGTGGGTCCTACCTGGGGTTCTTGTTGTTGAGGCTCAACGTGATCTCATTGACGCAAGCCGGGTGGTTCATCACCAGGGTGAAGCCAGACTGGGACAAAAAAGAGGGTTAATGGGGGTTTCCCATCCTCCTGCCCCCAACCCAGCGATGCTTGGGGACCCCAGACCCACAAGGAACCTCCCAGCACAGGACCTGTCACTGCCAGGATGTCCCATGCCAGCACCCATCATCCTTCCTGTGCCAGCATCCATCCCATGGGACAGAGATGAGCCCCTCAGGGACAGCAGCACCAAGGCCATCCCATGCCAGCACTGCCCACCGTGCCCCATCGGGGGTCGCAAGGGCCCCGTTGGGGTCCCACCTGGTAGTTCATGATGGCGCGCAGACACATGATGCAGACATGCACGTCATCCTTCTGGCTGACGATGCGCGAGTTCCTCAGCGCCTTCCTGCTGTGCGCGGGGTTGAGCCTGGGCGGGC